ATGAAATCAAAAATTATCAAAGCCGGACTGACCTCCACTACCTCCAAGCGACGATGACTTTTAACCAAGACCAACTCATGCTTTTCGTTTTGGTGCATCGCCTTGACCGCGCTGTCGTTGCGGACGTGTCAAACGTTCCATGTCATTGTCGGTGACCAATGTATATGAGGCTCCCTTTTGTCCTGCAAAACTGCCTCTACCATGCGGTACAGTATGCACGTCGGTGCTCCTGAAAGCATATTCAGCATAGTATGAGGATGGAACAGACGAAGCCAAACTTATTCAGATCCAACACATGGGAATCATTCACAACGAAGCAGCAGTAGCGAACAACTAGACAGGGAAGTTCAGCATAGAAGCTTCCGATAAATTCCTTTAAAGGGTGTGTTTAATCTAAAATATCAAAGTACAAAGTCAAAACATGCGCGTTGCCCATTGACTTAATCTACATCAGCGTCATATGTAATGTTGATGGGACGAAACTAGCAATGTATTGTATGCAAAAAGAATGACCAATAAAAGAAAAAGTGAAAGAAACCATTGCAAAAAAAGATCACCCACTTGTATTATCAGTACATCCAATCCTGCGCACATATGTGTCATCGTCCCTTGCAAGGTCACAGTTGAGCACAGTTCGAATTCCAGAGATATCCAAACAACGCGCTGAACCAAGTAAATGATTTCCCAACAGACGCTACTACGTTGCCATGCTGCTAGCCACGCTCACACAAAGTTCTGAACGAATTCTCCTGCGACATCGGTGGTTACCATGATATTCACCTTCTTTCGGAATGGTTGCAAATATCCATTCCTTTCATTTTGTAACATATCTCGGTGAAGAAAAACGAACTCGTAATCTCGACCCTACATCAAAAAAATTCAAATAAAGAGTGGATAACTGACATCAAAGAGATACACTCAGCTTTCTTGCAAGATCTCAGTGTCGATCTTCATGTTTAGAAAAATAAGGACTTCACCCACTAAGAATTCACATTTGTGCACATGGTCTACATAACCATATCGTAATGGAAACAAGTACAAAAACTTACTCGTGCCAAACTTGACCAGCCTTTCTATAAGCCATTCTCATTTCAAGTCCTATCGTGGCAAAACTCCGTGTTTGTTGACGTCTGCATTAGCCTGAAAATTACAATAAAGTGAGAGAATCAGCTCAAAAAGATTCTGAGCTAGACAATGGTTTACAACTTTTGAAAAGCAGAAATTGAATATATCCAAGCTGACCACTTATTTCTCCCTGCACAATCCGAACACGACACACAATGCATCTCGCGGAAGTCTTTCCACCTGTAATTGTGACCAAAAGCGTAGACAAATTTTTCTGGTCAGTTTCGAACATACTAGTAATCATAGTAAACAAACAGACCCATGATGTGTACAATAGCCAGCCATAAGTAAACAGTTTTGCTTCCAGTTTTTGCTATGCCAAGTACATCGCGTCCGCTAAGAGCAGCAGGAAAAATCTAGAACACCCAGGTTTTCAGAACCTTCACTCGGGAAACAATTAGAATAGCAAACTTGATCCGGATTTGATGTGGGGGTTCATGTTCGCTTTTATGGATAGCATCCACGATCTGTTTATCGAGGCCAAAATGTACAAACGGAAACTCAGGCATACTCTCACCACATGTTTGTCATGCGTTGCATGTACGTGTCGTCGATCGGGTAACGCATTGGCGCACGAATTCGAGCATGCAAGTTCGGGCGCGTGCGATGCGGTCGTTTTGCAGCGGTCTGCCTGTGGCCAGCCCATGAGTTCACGCCGGAGTTGACAACTTCCCTTGATATGTGCCAACTTAGCGCCATCTTTGATGGCACCAGGTAGGGTACATTACTACCGGCACTGGAGATCCTGTCTTGAGGGTGTGGACGAGTTACGGATTGCTCTCCCCGTCGTCATGGCGC